CGATTGTTAACTTTTGATTTGTGGCAGAGGCGTAGCGGTGGGGGGGGGGGGTGGGGCGGGGGGGGGTGACACCAAGGCAAAAAAAAGCAAAATATATAGAGAGAAACTTGAGGGAGGGGTGCAAATCGAAATTTTGAGGGGGGGGGGGGTGCAAATCGAAAATTTGAAACTTTGTCCCCGGGAAGGGTCGCTACGCCTCGGGGGTGGGGGGGGGGGGGGGTTGACACCATTAAGTGCCGCACTGGGTGACACCCGACCTCGCTACGCCACTGATTTGTGGTGTGGGTTAATTAGGTCGGTACAGCTTATCTAGGAGAGAAAAACCCAAAATCAAATAACTGACGTATCTGACGCATATCATGTTAACACGCAATACTTTATTGTTTTGGAGGAAATACAGTTCGATAACACAACTGAGGAAGAAGAACAGGGACATTCGGTTTTGTAAGACAACAGTACTACTCATTTTGAAACAAAAATGTAATGCTACACTACAAAAAAAATAAATAAAGAAAACAAACACGTTTGATTCGATACTCAATTCAAGGCATATATACATTTATTCTTAGATAGAAAAGTTGTCATCTGATTCAGACAGTCCCTCCAAAGCTAAGCCTATCTGTGATGGGGTAAAATGTACACTAATTCGGATACAGGACATAATAATAAAATAGAAAAATAAGCGCTTCTTTTCTCCCCCCCCCCCCCATTTAAAGTGTGAGTACTGAATACGTGGCGGTTGACATCCATTTTGTTTTATCCAAGAAGTCACAGCTTGGTGATTTTGTGATTTTTGCTTCCAACGCTAGTTCCCATATTATAAAATAAAACTTAGTACGTAACATATACCAACACTAAGATATTGCATTGAGTTTTATTGTTTTTATTATTTAACAAAACAGCCGCTAGTTCAGTTAGAAAAAAAAAGTAAATGACATACCTGAAGATCCGCAGAGCGTTAGGACAACCCACGCTATGCAACTGTATATCGTCAAGTTATTCATTTTTTTTTAAACTCTATTTTATTCATAAAGTAATGTAATGAATGTATGCATTGACAATTATTTTAAAACATTTTTTAAAAAGAATTTAAAAAAAAAAGAAATTTAATTTGACAACGTTATTGTAGTGTAGACACGGACAAAGACGTCTTACAGCAAAACTTAGTGGGATAACATGAGCGCGTCCGTGTCTTGGTGACGCACTGCGTTGATTATCTGTAACTTTTAGCTGATAGTGTATGGAAACAGCCAATCACAAACGGTCTTGTTGGCTTCCCGTGGTCAGCCCAGTGTAATGCAGTCGTTTATTGGTTGTTATCAGATAAACAGTTCATAGAGTTTTAGTCCCGTGTTACAAATAAATAAAAGCGGGACTATTTAGAAAAAGTGAAGATCATAGACCGAAGACGAAAAAGGGTGTGGGGGGGGGGGGGGGAGGGGAGAAAAGGGGGGGGGCGTTGTTGTATAAAACACCCCCAACCCATGTTTCTTTGAAGGATATTGTCAACAACAGTTGCTATTGACGACAAAGAACTGCAGAAGGCAGCAAATTTATGTCAATGTACAACAACACGAGGAGGTTTGAAAGTTGTTGTTGTGTGTCACCATTATTACTGTGTGTCACCATTATTACTGTGTGTCGCCATTATTACTGTGTCACCATTATTACTGTGTGTCACCATTATTACTGTGTGTCGCCATTATTACTGTGTGTCACCATTATTACTGTGTGTCACCATTATTACTGTGTCGCCATTATTACTGTGTGTCACCATTATTACTGTGTGTCACCATTATTACTGTGTGTCGCCATTATTACTGTGTGTCACCATTATTACTGTGTGTCGCCATTATTACTGTGTGTCGCCATTATTACTGTGTGTCACCATTATTACTGTGTGTCACCATTATTACTGTGTGTCACCATTATTACTGTGTGTCGCCATTTTTACTGTGTGTCACCATTATTACTGTGTGTCACCATTATTACTGTGTGTCGCCATTATTACTGTGTGTCACCATTATTACTGTGTGTCACCATTATTACTGTGTGTCGCCATTATTACTGTGTGTCGCCATTATTACTGTGTGTCACCATTATTACTGTGTGTCACCATTATTACTGTGTGTCGCCATTATTACTGTGTGTCACCATTATTACTGTGTGTCACCATTATTACTGTGTGTCGCCATTATTACTGTGTGTCACCATTATTACTGTGTGTCACCATTATTACTGTGTGTCACCATTATTACTGTGTGTCGCCATTATTACTGTGTGTCACCATTATTACTGTGTGTCACCATTATTACTGTGTGTCGCCATTATTACTGTGTGTCACCATTATTACTGTGTGTCACCATTATTACTGTGTGTCACCATTATTACTGTGTGTCACCATTATTACTGTGTGTCACCATTATTACTGTGTGTCACCATTATTACTGTGTGTCGCCATTATTACTGTGTGTCACCATTATTACTGTGTGTCACCATTATTACTGTGTGTCGCCATTATTACTGTGTGTCACCATTATTACTGTGTGTCGTCATTTCATTGAAAATATACCAAATAGCATAGACGTGCGTTCTCTTTGAAATGCCAGAAAATGCGAAGGGAACCAGATTCATCAGAATACTGTAATTTAGTTATGTGGAGGGAAGTAGAGATTTGAAGCCTGACAGTCTAGAATTTAGTTTCCGGATATACGTCTAAAAAATAAAAAATAAAAACAATAAAAATTCACGCAACAAATATTAGACATGTGCAGAGATGCTTATTCTTGAGATCTCTAAAAACTTCAGAACAGACTGATAGCGCTGCAGAGGAGACAACTCTATTACTCATGAACGATAACTTGGATAATTCGATCTATTGAAAATTAGATGATCAATTTAAAAAAAAATATATCAAATATGGTATCGCACCGAATTAATTATGGAGTTTATATTCAGTTTGTACGGTTTCAGAATTTGCGTGTCAAAAGGGTAATTAATGGTGTGGGTCACCCCCCACCCCCTTTTCAAGTAAAACAATTTATTGCCAATATCTATTGTACATTAATACATTATAGAATTAATGATTGCTTAAGGAATTAGTTGAACACTGACATGCTGGGATTTAATCACAAAAACACGCTTATTTAAAGTAGTCTAATCAGTGGCGTAGCGAGGGGGGGCGGAATGCACCGGGTGACACCATTGGGGGGGGGGGAGGGGTGACACCAAGGCAAAAAAAATAGCAAAATATATACAGAAAATGATAATTTCACTTAATTAAATGATTAATTAGAGTGAACTAAATAGTCTTTTAAGAACAAAGTGGACAAATCCCGACATGAGTGGAGGTGGGAGGGTGGGGTGACGTCATGACGTAAACCTGCTAATGATAAAGAAAGCATGCAACACCCAGCTAAATTTATAACCGAATATACATACACATCGTTTGTATTATCTGAGCACAGCTTAAAGCAATCACATACATACATACATACAAACATATATACATACATACATACATACATACATACATACATATATATATATATATATATATATATATATATATATATATATATATATATATATATATATATATATATATATATATATATGTATATATATATATATATGTACATATATGTATGTATGTACATATATGTATGTATGTACATATATATATATATATATATATATATATATATATATATATATATATATATATATATATATATATATATATATATATGTATGAGTCTAATTATGTATACTATTGTAATATTTAGGGGAAATAGGCAGCAATGGCCACGCGATATTGATGGGAGGAAAGCTTTTTTATACAGCAAGCTTGCTTGATTATCACAGGGTCCCGCACATCCGATTGAAAATTAGCATGATAATAACGCACACAATTTAAAATGTCAATACTTTCAATCCATAGCAAAATACAATTTATTTTTTATTTGTTTAACCACCTCTGCCAATGTGGTAGGGTAGGGCGTCCGAACGTTAGGATGTCCTGAATTGGTTAGAAAAGAAAATATTATGAGATGTATTACTGAATTATACTCAATCGAAGTTGAGAAAATAAACTGTTATTTGGCTTTGCTGACTTATTAAACTGTTGTCTACATTACTCGCGTGACACCAAAATAACTGTTAAGTTACAATGACATTTCCAAATTTGGGGACTTTTTGTCGTTTATAACTATATATAAATGAGGGGGGGGGGAGAAATATTCACCACTGTTAAAACTGGAAAGAATTTAGTGTCACACCCATCCCCAAAGGTTTCGACTTTGCCTAAAGATGTCAAAATTAACAAGATATCGTTACAGAAAAAGTCTAAAGAAACTCATTTTTTTTTTAAAGTGACTTAAGGTAATGAATCTCGATAAAGAGTGATCAAAAATTAAAAAAATTTTTTTAATCCTGACTTGACAAAATAGGAACTATTTTTCAGAAAAGCTTAAAATCACTTCACATATGATTATTGGACAACCATTTGTCACATTGAGATATGGAAGCAATAAAAAAAAATGTTGAGGAAAAAAAAACAACAATCATGCTATATTTGCTATCAATCAACGTCGTACAGTTCTAATTAGAATTATTTAAATCAGTAAAATCTAACGGTGTCTTTAAAAACAATTTTTTAATCTAGTTTTAATTTTTTCAAACATAAATTAAATTGGCTTTTCATCAGTCATTGTTTTTTCAAATGCCGCAGTTTTATTTTGTGATTACAATAATATAATTTAATTAACAAAAGAATCTTAATATAGTTCTTTTCTTTTATTCGAATAATACAATGATTTTTCAAAACTTATAATAATTATGTTTTTAGGCCTACAGTTTTTAAAACAGAATGTGTTTTATTTTATAGGCCTAATGTATTTTTAGTGAAGAAATGTCGACTTTTGAGAATAGATTGAATTGCGTCCCTTGCGCTACCGCTAGGTGTCCTAACTTGTTGTTGAACGATGATAATAATTGTGATGATCGTATTGATGAAAATGGCGATAATTACTCGCACTGTAGCTGATACTACATTAATGCCGAATGCGTATCCTCTATTTTGACTAGTAAAATAAATTAATTTGTATTTATATAGTTTGATCTTGATCAGGTATGTTGATGTTTGTATTTATAGATTTATCATACTCAAATTATGTTAAAGAAAGGTGAAAGAAAAAAGTAAAGTATTTCGATAACGGCTCAATCAGCACACGATAACGGGCGGAAGAGCCAGCTGTTCAGATAATCGTACGATTACAACGATAACGGTGAATGTTGATCGAACTTAGATCTAAATATTTGTGAAATTCGTCCAACTGAGGTAATATTAGAAGAGTACAAGTACATAGATCTAGATCTAGATCTATCTGCATTTTGTTTTCTTGTCACTTCAGTTTCAGATTTATCTAGATCTAGAGTCTAGACTCTAGTTTCTCATTCTATTCCAGTCCAACTAAAGCCTGAAAATTTAGTACAGCAGGGGAAGGCACTCTAATAATGATTATTTTATGTTAAACAGGAGTTATGTATCTTGTCAGTGTGATAAAATTGATGTGGGTCTAGATCTAGTCTATACAAATAAAAACAAAGTAAGAAAGTTAGGAATCTTTTTTTACTACATCCATTCTTTAATTTTTATTTACTTGACACTGTGATCTATACCTGAACTTTCACTTTTAACTATTTTGATTGTCAATATCAATATATCATCCTTATTGTTAATTAAATAATTATCCATTTGATTATGTCATGCATTATGAATATATATGTCATGATGATTATGTCAATGCCCCTGATACATATATACATATACATATACATATACATATATATATATATATATATATATATATATATATATATATATATATATATATATATATATATATATATATATATATATATATATATATATATATATATATATATATATATATATATATATATATATATATATATAATTTTTTTAGATGGATTCATATGCAGCAGTTATAGACAACCAAATGTCAGGTGCATCAAATAGTTTGGCAGATTTCCAAGTACCATCAACATTTCCTCAATTTCCTGGCAATAGTTCTTTGGATAACTCATATGGAAACTTACAAGGGTTATCTTCCCCATTTTCCAACACTTCTACAACACAGGGTAGCAGCATGAATGTCACTGGATACAACACACAGCAGCCTAGTTATAATAATATGTCAGTCACTGCAGCATCGCCTTTTGCAATGCCTTATGATCCACCTCCCATCCAGCCGAATCCGTCTCCAATGCATGTGTCGACTCCTCAAGCTTCGCCTCTACTACAGACTAAATCTAACAAAGCAGTGCATTCCTGTACGTATTGTGGATTAGTTTTATCATCGGCCAATGCACTTCTTGAACACAAGCGTATTCACACTGGAGATCGACCTTTTTCGTGTCACATCTGCAATAAAAGCTTTACTCAGAAAGCGCACTTAAACATTCATAAGAGGACCCACACTGGAGAAAAGCCATATGCATGTCATGTTTGTCATAAAAGATTTGCCCAGTCTTCTCACCTAAGTAGCCACAAGCGCATCCATACAGGTATTATAACGTTATTAGTATTATATATACTTTAAAGCTTATTTTAAAATACTTTTGAATTTGCATTGTTTTTTGCTTAATAAAACAAAGGGGGAAAAAGAAATATGTATTAAATGATATAATGGTATAAAAATTAATTACACTGTCGAATTTCAAATAGTGGGTAACTGGTAGTTTATTGTTTATCTTCATACAACTCACATTTGAAAACATGGGGAAAAATTAAATTATCTGGTTTCCTTTTTATTAAACATGTGTAAAAACGAAATAAAAAGGACAATATGATCAAGAATCTTCTGTTTTTATCTTTTATAGTTTGACAGAACCTTTTATTTTGATTAGTCATTTCATACTAATAAATTCTAGTTTTGTGTTTCTGTTTTAAAGTGGTTTTTATTTAACACAGGAGAAAAACCATTTGTTTGCAAAATATGCCATATTGGCTTCACACAAAAACAAAGACTGGATGCCCACCATAAGAAACATCTGGAAAGGCCTGGTCAGGAGATAGTTGTTAGACAAAGAACTATTGTGCCATCACAAGTAGAACAACACAGGCAAGTATACAATTTCAGTTGCTTTTTACATGCTGCTTTTTAAAGTTGTAGCTATGCCAATTCTTCTAATAACTTACAGTTTAAACAATACTGTAGAACAAATGTTTATAAATATGCATACTACTCTATTTCAGAATCCCTCAAAATGATGACAGTTCTTTTATGCAGATGATTGGTCATGGCATGCCTTACATAAAGCAAGAAACTCCACCAGATGTAGCAAATAGCACCATCACTTCAGCATCATCAACAGAAAAAAGAATTTTGACAAGAAGCTCTGTTAAAGTGGAAAATGGTAAAAAATCTTGCAGCAAAGAAGAAAATAGAGAGGAGGAAGATGATAAAAGTTCTACAAATTCAGATCAAAGCCCAAAAGTTACAGCTCCAAGTTTTTCTTCCGAAGGCATGTTCCTTCACCCATCAGGGTATGTGGCATATGGGGGTATTGGTGATAGTGAAGAGTCAAGTGATTTAGCTGCAGTATCAGAAACCTGTGGCTTACCACACAATGGCACATCTAGCTCTAGCCATAGGCGTAAATCTTCAGTAGTTAGAAAACGGCGCAATGAGTCACCCGTTAAAGAACATATTCCAGGAATTCACACTTCTGTGTCCAATGAATTAAAAAAATATTCAATATTACAAGCAGATTCCATTACCAACCACAGCCATCCTGATAGTGATACATTAACTTCCTGTTTCAAAGAAACTCAGAAAACTTTAGAACATGAAAAAGATCCGCCTTATAATGGTGTTGCAACAGGTCAGTCTGACTCTAATGAAAATCCTAATAAAACTGAGAACAAGGCACACTGTCACATAAATCAAAATTCTAGTCCCTCCAATGTAAGTCCTCAAGCTGGTTTGATCAAAGTTAATAATAGAATTTCTTTAGTAAACTTTACAGCTGAAGAGCTAGTCCTGCATCTGATGAAAAGGGATGATGTTAACAAATGCCATTTCTGCTGCCTGATATTCCAGGATCCTGCTATGTATCACATACACCGTAACATGCATGACAAAACTGACATCCACAAGTGCAATATGTGTGGCAAAATGCTGCAGGATAAATATGATTTCACTGCACATTTTCTTAGTATGCATCAAAGTTGAATTTCTTACTTTCCAGTGTGATAAATTTCAAATTAGTATGAAAATGTGATACATTTTATTCTTACATTTAATTACTGCAACTTTTAGTGAGTGAAAGTTAGACTATTTCCTAAATGGCATTCCACTTTTAATAAATAAAAGATTATAGACTGAAACAAAATTAGTGAGTATTATTTCAATGATATTTATATTAAAATAATATATTATTAATTTTTAATTTTAATCCATCTTCACTTTGAGTGGGTATATAAATAAAACCAGTCTAAAAACTTAAAAATGATCACTCATTTAAATGTTCTAAAAATGTGGGGGAAAAAGCATACATTGTGTTTGGAAACCAAATTAAAAATAAAACTATTGCAAAATATGTTAGTTATTTCAATGATGGAAGATTATGTGGATATTAAAATTTTAGGAAACATTAAGTAGCATAAATCTAATTTATCTAAAATGCAATTGCTGCAATAAATGTGGTTGAAATTTAATGACAAAATTTGCCACAGACAGACATTGAGACATGTAAACCCTTTTTTAAAAACAAAAATGTATCTTCTTATTGGAATAATGAGATTATAATTTAAATTTTAAAAATATACATTAATATATCCATGTTTTATTTTCAATCTTTTCTTGTTTTGGTTCATATTTTTCAACATTCCTTTTAGCTTTTTAAAATTTCACGCTATAATATAAATTGCTTACAAAGAAAATTCTGTTTAATTTAATTTGATTAGCTTTCATAACAGTTTGTCTTATAATAATGACTATGCCTTGGTTTTTAACTTACCTTGATTTATACTGTATTTTCTCTTAAACTGATGTAAACCAGTTTCAGATTTTTCCAGACAATTAAGAAAGTACTCTATTTAAACTACATGCTAAAGAATCCCCTTTATATAATTGTAGCTGGCAGCCCTTGAGTATTTTCTGACAACATCCTTAAAAGCTCAATTGGAAAGGATGAATCATTTATATTTTAGGATATTTGGAAAGTATTTGTATTTTTTCTTGTAACATCCATCATATGTGGCCATGGGTAAAAATGAGAATGCCTAGTCTTTAAAATTTTTAGTGCTTCTAAGTTGTAGGATACACTGCTGTCTATATATTATATATATAAAATATAATTTTTGCAGGGATATAATTGATTCTTATTTTTGTGATTGTATTTTGATAGGTTTTGTGATACATTTGAAATTAAATTTTATACAATAGTAACCCTTTGTCCATAAATTTGTGTATGTAATTTACTGTAAAAAAGTTTCCCTTTCAAACCTGACGGTCTATGGGGCAAGTGAAGTAGAGTTCACTTGTTTCTGTGACCTTGGCATATGAAGAGATAGTGTGGTCAACATTATGCCCAGCAGCCTCTACTTTCCCTAACGTGAGTTAGGTACCTATCAGAGTTGGGTGGACTCAGGGACGGTCTACTGACTTGAATTTACTGTATATTACAAGAAAAATCAAATAGCTAACATGGAGCTATATGAGCATAATTTTAGAGTTCAATATCTAACCATGTTAGTCTTTGCCGACTTTCATAACATCAGTTTATGTTACAGTGTGAGCTAAAATTTATTCATCGAGTGAAGCCTTTTTAATGAAATTGTTCAGTGATTTTTAAATCAAATATAAACTTAGCTGCTTCTAAGTTGCAGGTCAAAACTTAAATATCTGTCGTCAAACTGACAAACATAATTAAATCTTTTTGTTAAGACTTTTCCCCTTTACAAACAAGCTCATTCGGAAAGCCAATTTGATAACAGATAAAGATAGAGGAATTTATTTCTGTAAAATATTTGAGATTTTTCTATTCAAAGTTTGCCTCTCCATAATCTGACTGCTCTTACTCCCTTTTCAAAAAGAACATACGGCTTTTACATATTATTTCCCTTAATTACTTTGTCGTTATTAAAAAAACCTAGAGAAATTTTTTTTATGTGTTGTGTAAAATAAAAGTAATGTTGAAAAAACATGACTACAAATTTCTTTTATAATGATGCCTTAGTGTATTTTTAAAAAAGCAACGGAAAATGGAGTTAGAACAGCCTGGTTCTGGGGAAGCGAGTTATAATTTTAAAACTTAAAATTCATTCTTTACTGAGTGATATATAAAAAAAACCATGAATTTTTAAATAGTTTATTATACAAAAACTATCATTCATGAAAAACATCAGCCACTCAAGATGCAAACAACTATCAGAAAATTGAACATAAATCTGGGTCTGTAAAATTTCTCTAGTGATTTGAGTCATTTAGTTTGGGAAAATTTACATCTTGTAAAAATAATAGATTGCATATGAACTGGATTATATTTCAGCTTTTAACTATTAAAAAGTGTTTAAAAATTGGAATAGGAATACATCAAACATTGTATAGAAATATCAAATTATAGTATATTATGATATATACATATGACAATTTAATGGAATGTACAAGGCATCCTACAAGAAAAACAAATTGGCTAGTACTGTAAAGGACTTCACAGAAGTGGATCAGCTGGGCTTGTACTCCTTTACAATTGGGCTCACTGACATTTGTTTCATTAAATTGCTTAGTTAACATTTTCAACAAACACTATTTCACCTTGGAATGTGTCAAAGAAATAACCATAATCATTTAGAAATATAAGAATACAATACTATTGTTTTACAACTTTAAATAACCTTTACGTCTTTTTAAAATGAAAATACTTTCTAAGTAAATAGTATAAGTAAAAATATTAATTTACAAAAACATTGGATTATACAATTCCTGCTCGTATCAAATACAATAAAATCATTAATTCTAAAAAGTTTCTTAAGAAGTTTTCCAAATAGAAACCTATTCTAAAATCTAGACTATTTCTACATTTTAAATATTTTGTTCCATTTAATATCAAAATTCCCACTCATCTTTTCTTAAAACATAGGAAATAAATCTTCAAACATTATGTACAAGACTTACACATTATTGTACTATAAGGCAATATGCTGCTGGAATGAATGTCTTTAAAAAATGCATGAACAAAATGGAATGTTTCTAGAGAAAGAGTGAATTAAATTTTTATTTCATAGCAAATGTGCTTTAAAAATGTAGTTTAGATAAAAAAAAAATTATTCTTTTCAGATGTTTTTTCTTTAAATATGAAAAATGATTGACGCAAGTTAAAAATCACAGTAATCTGTAAAAAAAGAATGTTAACAAGCTTCCAACACTGAGGACCCAAGACAGTTTGACCCTGGCAGAACTATTGCAGCCGTTCCAGTCATTGCAAAAGCAGTAGGTGTACCTGGAGTCAATCTGGTCATTGGGATTGTAGGGGTCATCTTTTCTGGCAGGCACACAGTAGCCATGGCGACGAAGGACCGGCATCCTCAGACGATGGATTGTTGATTTAAGTAACGTGTTTTCACATTCCCTGAGGTATCTAGGTTCCTCACCTAAAAAGTCATGCAATAAAGAGTTATTAACTTTTAACTATATAGCTTTTAAAATTCAGTATGTTTATTTCTAAGCATCCTTTAAAAGAATGTAAGCCAAATTGAATTGTTGGTTTAAATTTTATACCAATCTGATTCTGTTTACCAAGTTTTAGTGTCAGTTAAGAAATGTATGTCTAAGTTCACACAGTGGATATTGGACCATCTACGCAATGTGAATGGAACCTTAATAAAAAACGTTTTAAAAACGTTTTAAAATTCAGTATGTTTATTTCTAAGCATCCTTTAAAAGAATGTAAGCCAAATTGAATTGTTGGTTTAAATTTTATACCAATCTGATTCTGTTTACCAAGTTTTAGTGTCAGTTAAGAAATGTATGTCTAAGTTCACACAGTGGATATTGGACCATCTATGCATGTGTGAATGGAACCTTAATAAAAAACGTTTTAAAGAATGCCAACATTTTCAAGTTTAAAAACTGTCTTTATTTTTTTATTTTTAAACTGCAAACACAGAAATTCAAAAAGTAAATGTTGGAAATCTGAAAAGTGAAAAAAAAAAAGATTTTCTAATCTGGAAATCTGGGAAATCCCAGAGAAATGGCACCCTAGTATGTGTATATTCTTACATAACTGACATCATACTCATGGGGAAAAAAAGAGTATTCTGACATTATTTCATAAGAAATGGCTTTATGGGTGAAATTTTATTGTTAAAATGAAAATGTGTATTCTTTTTTAGATGTATTGTTATTATTAAAGAGGGGTGATCAGATCAAGACGATGTTTTAAGAGGGACAAATATTATCTTAAGAAGTAAGAAGCATAAAATCATTAATGTTTGACCCATATGTGCATTATCAAAGCTAACTTTTCTTAGACAGGCAGCAAGCATTTAAACTGGATCCCCCACAAAATGCAAAACAAGTTCAAGGTTATTAAATGATAATAGTTTCTGCATTCTACCAGTAAACTATCATTAAGTCCTAAAGGTTGTATATTTTTAACATCTATTATTAGATAAAATTATATCATCTGTCACTCTTGAATTAAATGATTGAAGCTACCAGTTAGTTGCTAAGGCCTAGATGTAAAAAATTAGACCAACCTGGAATTTTTTCGACAACTTTAACACAAAAACTGTCACCACAATCCTTCCAGGGATACATCCTCCAAACAACATCGTCTCCACATCCTCCAAAAGCACTCAGACATCTGTGGCACATGATGGCGTTACCTAGAGAATAGATAACACACATTTATTTCAATTATCTGCACAATTAGACCTACAAGTAAAAAATAATAGATAATATCACATAAAAAACTGTTCATTACAATTGTGATACACAAAGTTGTTTTTCTAAAACGGATAATGATAATTAATATGTAACTTTAAAAACCAATTGATCTTCATTGTAATCCTAGTTAGGACCTTTTTAAAATGTAAAATTTAAAAACTGAAACTCTGAAACTAAATCCTAAGATGCAGCAATATTTATATTGTTTCATTTGAAAACATGTTGTTGCTATTTTTTAAATAACACACCTACTTTTAAATTTCTTTTAAAATTATTAGGCTGCAACGTGTTCTCACTAATAATTAGTTAGATTCTAAAGGTCTTAATTTTAAATTAGTGAGAAGTAGGCCTAGTCCTAATAAAATCAAAATAAACCTGAAGTGAATAGTGAATTGACATAAACGATCATATTTTATTATTTAGCCTAATCATATTAATTTAGGTAGGCCCCTATAGTTTGATGTTTTAGCATGTGCGTTCTTTTTGCCAGGGACAAAAAAACAAAAAGCCGACTTGAAATATCGTCCTAATTATTAAATTATTAGGCCTAAGGCCTAATGCTAATTTCAAATTCTAAAGGCTGTTTTATGGTAATAAATTTACAGGAGATGGGTGGGTATTTTAAAGGTGTAGAGTGTTAATGTAGGGTAAACAAACAGTTTTGTTATTTCTTTATAAAGAAACTTAGAAATATAGCCTAAATGTCTAGGCTTAAATTATTAAAATTAAGGCCTAGGAGCCTAGGCTACCATTTACATTTAGGCCTTAGTAATTTATATGCTAATTAAAAATTATTATGAAATAATTACCATTTACATTTAGACTAGTTAGTTTTGATCAAGAAGTATAGATCTAGAATATGTTACTACAGATATAAAACATACTAATGGATCTAGAGTCTAGATGTACGTTTTCAGTCAATGATCACACACGGAAGTGATCAAAATTATTTCGAACAACAACATTGATTGTCAATACTGCTAACTAACTAGATCTGCAAACCAAAGAAAAAACATACAATTCAATACAATAATATTTTTAAAGAACAGTAGACAGTACAGCGTGTTAAATAAGTCCCTACTCTTACAGTAATCTTAAATACCTACCATTGTGTACAAGAAAAACAAGAAATAGCAACGTTCCTATGCTGAAAGCCGCCATGTTGCTGTCTTTGGGCTTCTTTTCCTACCTGTGATGACCTAGTTTCGCACAAGGGGCAATCATTCTCAGGTAGCCTAAAGTTTGGTACCAACAGAGTTATGTTTAGGAATCTTACTACAATACAGGATTTTCAGGTCCATACTGATATACGGCTAGCGGAAAAAGTATAAAATAGTAGAAATGGGCCTAAAAGAGAATTTTTTAAAAAAAAAATGAACACTCAACCACTTGTTTTTTTGTAAAAAACAACAACAACCATTTAGTATGTGACTATACGAAGTACTAGTAGGCCTACCGTTTAGTACGGTGTTATTTGTAAAATTTAATTTTTGTAATTTGTAGAGTAGTTTCTTTGGTAATTGAAATGTCGAGTTATTTTAACGTGTTTAAAATGCACGCATATAATTAATTATAAAGGTAAATTATGGGCAATAAATATACATGGTTCCCTAAGAAAGAGTAAGCCCCATGCCTTTGCTTTTAAACCACTGTGAAAGCCGAGTCCTCTTTCTCCTACAATCAAACTTATCAAAGGGTGCACCTCCAAAACGGCCCGCGATAAATCGGCCCCGTCAAATCGGCCCCGTTAATATGACCCCGTCAAATCGACCCCCGACAACAAGACCCCGTCAAAAGGGCCCCGACTTGTTGGCTGCCGTCAAATGGGCTCCCGTCATACTGACTCGCGACATATAGGCTCCCGACATTTAGGCTCCCGACAAATGGACTCCCGACATATTATCTCCCGACAAATAGGCTCAGGACATATTGGCTCCCGGCAAAGCGGCTCCCGACATATTGGCTCCCGACAAAAGGGCTCCCGACATATTGGCTTCCGACAAAATGACTCCCCGACATATTGGCTCCAGACAAATGAATCGCATTACCACTATTGGTATAAATGTAATCATTTCAGTGGCGTAGCCAGGATCGTCTCAAGGGGGGGGGGTTCCAATTTTACCCGGGGACAAACTTTCGATTTGCACCCCCGCCCTCAAACTTTCGATTTGCACCCCCCCCCCCTCAAACTTTCGATTTGCACCCCCCCCCCCTCAAACTTTCGATTTGCACCCCCCCCCCCCTCAAACTTTCGATTTGCACCCCCCGCTCATACTTTTTATATATACCGAGGGGTCTATGGGGGGGGTTATGACCCCCCCTAACCCCCCCCCCCCCTGCCTACGCCACTGAATCATTTGTCCTACATCCACTACCACTATAACCTCTTTAAAATGCCTGCATGAAATTGTTTTTCATGAACATACAGCAATTCACAAACAAATCTAGCCCTTAACAGCTAAATTCCGCCAATTCTAAAATTTTGATAATGTTTAATGTACAACAGAAAAGATCTGTTGGTTAAAAGCGAGCATTTTGTTTTGATAACCTACAAGCATACTGCTGGTTGGAATGTACAGCGTGGACCCCTCTCCTCACACACTGAGTTGGAACAGCCTATAACCGACTCACTCATGGAAGTAAAAGATAGATGACCCTTAAATTAAAACATACTATTTCTTATACTAAATAAAATAATATAAAAATAAGGCCTGTCGAACAAGAGATGCATAAGTTATATTACTTAAGAGTGTTAGATAAGCTAACTCTAAAGAATATTGATGAAGGGGTCCCTCTTGCAGGTGTCATATTCAATGAGACTGTTTTGCCGGGAGACAGAAACCGTATTGTCAGTGGTCCTTTTATCGGGAGCCAAATTGACAAGAGCCTATTTGTCGTGAGCCAAAATAACGGGAGCCTATTAGTCGGTAGTCGTAATGACGGGAGCCGTTTTTGTTGAAAAACGAAATGTCGGGAGCCTATTTGTCGGGATTCGTAATGACGGGGGCGGTTGTGTCGAGAAACTAAATGACGGGAGCGTATATGTCGGGGGCCTTATTGACTGGAGCCCTTTTGTCGGGAGCCTATTTGTCGGCAGCCTATATGACGGGGTCAATATGTAGTTGGTCCTTTTGACGGGGGCGATGTGACGGGGCTTTTATGTCGGGGCCGATTTGTCGGGGTCGTATTGACGGGGTCGTTTTGTCATTAGCCGTTTTGACGCCGCACGTATCAAAGATAAGCAAACGTTCAAACCACTTCTTTGACTTATTTCCCCTTTTTAAATAGTCAAATAGGGGTGCACATAAGCTCCTTTTAATAGATTTGTACTAAACAATTAAAAAGCAATTACTTCTCTTAATTATTATTTTTTTAGAAAGTACTTACTAAAGAATGACATTGTATAAAAATGAAATGTATTTAAAATTAATAATATAAATACAGAAAACCATAAAAAATAATCATAACACAGCTTTCATGTTTTATATTCTTTTGGCCGACTAGAAGTTGAGAGGCCTTATAGTAGAATTAAAATAAAACTGATTTTTCCAAAACACACTGAAGCACTTCCATACATTACATGATGTAGTAATTTAATTTAATTGAAAAAAAAACACATTTTTTTTTAAAATCCGAACAGGCCAGCAATGAGCATCATATGTTCGTATTTTGTTTGTATATATATATATATATATATATATATATATATATATATATATATATATATATATATATATATATACATACATACATACATATATATATATATATATATATATATATATATATATATATATATATATATATATATATATATATATATACATATATATATATATATATATATATATATATATATATATATATATATATATATATATATATATATATATATATATATATATATATATATATATATATATATACTAGGCATATTGCCTAGCTTCGCTTAGGTTTTCAAAAAAGTTGAGAAATTGAATGATTAATTAATAGGTGATTGGCTGTAATGTTAAATGCTTAGGGCCTAAATTAATACAGTGGGGTACTTTTATTGTGCCCATAAATTGTTGGAATATTCGCAAATGTATTACTCGCAAGGTTATTAGAACTGAAAGGGCTTTCATAAAAATTATTAATCAAATATAATGTTAAATTACTTTTGCAATTAATTTTACAATTTCAATACAATACAAAACTTAATTTATAACAAAATATCCATCTAAAACAATGCTATACATTATGATTTTTGTTTTTTCTTAAAAAGAGTATACACAATATTAAAAAATTGTTACATTAAAAAGTTACCGCCCCTGTTCATAGACCAAATGACCAAATCTCGTATAATGAGAATTTCAATCGCAGTCATTTTTAGCCCTCTTCGAGGGCTTTGATGCTGACCAACAATTTTTCCATACGGCCCAGTCATCAATAGAGGTGTATGCAAAAAATTAGCCAGTTATACAAAGAGTAAGTACCCTAAAATTTGTGTAGAAATTACCCTGTTTTCCCCATAAAATACAAAGATTATATAGGGAAATACGACTGGTCAGTTTTGACCCATTTCCAGATTAATCGCGGACATGGCGAGTTTTTTGTGACACCCCAAGGCGTTCTCCTCACAAAATATCAAGGGGGGGTCGTCGGAGGAAAAAGTTTTTCGTAATAGAGCTCATATAAAGAGAATTTCACTCGAGGTCACTTTTTAGCCCTCTTCGAGGGCTTTGAGTGAAACCGACAGTTTTACCTAAAGGTCAAGCCATCTTCCTAAGAGTATGCAAAACATTAGCCAGATATACTGAGTTTAAGTACCATAAAATCTGCGTTGAAATTACCCTCTGTTTTTCCCATAAAATACAAAGATTATATAGGGAAATACAACTGGTCAGTTTTGACCCCTTTACGAAGTTTTCCCAGATATGCCGAGTTTTTTGTGACACCCCAAGGCGTTCTTCTACCATCTCACAAAATATCAAGAGGGGTCGTCGGAGGAAATTTTTTTTCGTAATATAGCTCATATAAAGAGAATTTCACTCGCGGTCATTTTTTAGCCCTCGTCGAGGGCTTTGAGTCAAACCGGCAGTTTTCCATAAAGGTCAATCCATTTACCTAAGTGTATGCCAAACATTAGCCAGATGTAAAGAGGGTTAGTGCCCTAAAGTCTGCGTTGAAATGACCCTCTGTTTTTCCCATAAAATACAAAGAATATATAGGGAAATACAACTGGTCAGTTTTGACCCCTTTACGAAGTTTTCCCAGATATGCCGAGTGTTTTATGACACCCCAAGGCGTTCTCCTACCACCTCACAAAATATCAAGGGGGATCGTCGGAGGATTGTTTTTTTCGTAATAGAGCTCATATAAAGAGAATTTCACTCGCGGTCACTTTTTAGCCCTCGTCGAAGGCTTTAAGTGAAACCGACAGGTCTGTCCTACGGCCAAGCCATTTACCCATAAGCATGCCAAAAATTAGCCAGATGTAAAGAGGGTAAGTGCCCTAAAAGCCGTTTTCGAATTACCCTCTGTTTTTCCCATAAAATACAAAGATTATATAGGGAAATACAACTGGTCAGTTTTGACCCTTTTACGAAGTTTTCCCAGATATGCCGAGTTTTTTGTGACACCCCAAGGCGTTCTTCTACCATCTCACAAAATATCAAGGGGGGTCGTCGGAGGAAATTTTTATTCACAATAGAGCTCATATTAAGAGAATTTCACTCGCGGTCATGTTTTAGCCCTCGTCGAGGGCTTTGAGTCAAACCGACAGGTCTGCCCTACGGCCAAGCCATTTACCTATAAGCATCCAAAAAATTAGCCAGATGTAAAGAGGGTTAGTGCCCTAAAATTCGTTTTCAAATTACCCTCTGTTTTTCCCATAAAATACAAAGATTGTATAGGGAAATACAACTGGTCAGTTTTGACCCCTTTTCGAAATTTCCCAGATATGCCGAGTTTTTTATGACACCCCAAGGCGTTCTCCTATCACCTCACAAAATATCAAGGGGGGTCGTCGGAGGAAAAATTTTTTCGTAATAGAGCTCATATAAAGAGAATTTCACTCGCGGTCACTTTTTAGCCCTCTTCGAGGGCTTTGAGTCAAACCGACAGTTTTCCCTAAAGGTCAAGCCATTTACCTATAAGCATGCCAAACATTAGCCAGATGTAAAGAGGGTTAGTGCCCTAAAGTCTGCGTTGAAATGACCCTC